AGGGGAGGAAGAGAGCAAGGGGGAAGGAGCAGCAGGCTGCTGCCAGTTGGGCTTTGCCTGCCCTGGGCTGGATGGAATGGAGCCCACTCACCTTGATGTCCCCCCAGCTACCGCACCTTGAGTATTGGGGGGAGCTGGGCTGGGCCCACGTGGCAAGGGGGTCTCTCTTCCACCACCACCCCCCACCTAGACCTCTTGACAGTGGCAGCAGAAGCTGTTGGCTCAGCTTTACCATGGCCAGAGCTGGGAAGGGGTATGGGGGAATGGAGCCCCCCTCAACTAGTGGGCCCAGCTGAGCTCCCCCAAATACCCTAGCTGGGGTAGCTGGGGAAGGGCTGCGATACAAGGGGGCTCCTTTCCACCATGCCCCCCACCTCCAGCTCCAGCCAAGCAAACCTGAGCCGTCAGCTCCCTGAGCTGCCTGCTGTTCTCTCCCCCTCTCTCCCCAGCTGACAGCCCTGGGGGTGCTGGGGCATCATCACCAGTGTGAGCATCAGCCCAGCACTGCAAAGGCACTAAAAATTAACCTTCAAGGGAACACAAGTTCCCTAAGGCACTCTTTTCTATAGCACCTTCAGCTAATAGCCGATTTGATGAGGGTTAATTTTTTGTGTGATCAGCCATTTTAAAAGCACTCTGCAACCATGCACGTGTGTTATGTCACAGCTGTAGAGTACTTTCAGGGGCCCCATCGTGCAAAAAAATGTTAATTGTGTAAGCAGCCATGATGTACTATTACTAGTGCATTAAGATTTCTTTTTAGCATGAAAGTATAGTGATATTATTCCACTTAACTCACATTAGACATTATTCCCAAGAAATAAAGTGTTTCAAGTGAATACATTCCTAAACCTGTTCTACTTCAGAACAACCAATCTTTCTTAGTTAGTTGGCTAGTGAGACTTAAGTCTTCATGGCTGATCTAAATTTGCCTTGTTGCTATGTTCCAGTCACATGGCAGAAAAATAACAATCATCTTCTCTGCCCCAGGGAACTCACAATACTAAATAGCAAAAGCTACCTGTTGAGCACTCTTCCCCATTCCAGCAAAGTCCTTCAATGTGCATTTAATTTTGAGCACATAGATAACTTTATGGAAGACTTGCACATATTTATCTAGTATGGAATAGAAGGACTTGAAGAAAGTAAATTGATATGGAAGGACTTATCACTCTTTCACAGGAGGAAAACCATCAGAGTGTTATGAAAACTCTGAAGAAGGAATTAAAAAGATGGTTAAAAAGGGTGTTGATGTTCAAGCTAGATCCCAGCTACAATCACAGTGACCAGTAGTGCTAGACCTTATGTTCTGCAACTGTCTGTGCAACTGAGTGTAAACTGAGGAATAGTGAAAACCTACCATGCCATCTGGTCTCTGAAGCAACTAAGAGCCTCCATTGCACTATCTCCAGATAGTTTTAAGGGAGCAGTAGCTACTGACCACCTAAAACAACAGAGGACCTATTAAGACTGGGTGTTACTAGCCTACTAGTTCTATTCTCACAGTATGTCCTTAGACCAGCACTGCTACAACCTACACCCCTTCTCACAGTAGGACTTTTGAGAAATAAAAAATGTAGGGGGCTGTAAGTATCATTTTTCAGAAATTCCCTTCTATTAATCTTAATGCAGTGCCTTTATAGTTGTTTTGTTTTGTTTTTTGGTAATGATTTACAGGCTACCTGTCTTTGGTGCCAGAAGTATGTTAAATGTTGGCACTACAGCTTGTTCCTTTGCCCACAGATCTCTGAACTGTCAATCCTTGCAAAGCAGCATTATGAGAAGCATCACCATAATCTAAGAAGGCTAGCTATGGGTCCCACCAGTACTTTTATGACAAAGGTCTTCTACTGCCAGTCATCCTGGACGCATCTCTATTGCCCTCAGACAGCAATCTGAGAGGAGAATTTAACTGGGATGAATAGGGTTGGGGAGTAGATTCGATTAGCTACATTAATATGCACATCAATCTTTGAAAAGCCTCATTGTTTTGAATTCTTTCCAGTTCTGTGCTTGCCTCTACCTTTCTGGTTGAACTCTTTCCTAAAATTAATTCAGATCTAGAAACTGCCTCCCCTTTCTCCACCTCTTTCTTCTCATGCATCTTATATGAAACAGGATGATTGAGAGCCTAGTCATCATAGCATCAGGCCCAAGTGTGTGCCCTAACCATCAGTTTAAGACTATTCCACTTGTCTTCCAACCACCATCACAGACTGTTAGCCTGTTGGTTAGGGTGCTTTCCTGAAAAGTGGAAAATGGGACACATCTACTTTAAAGAAAGAAGTCTGGGCGGTGAATCCTGAGTGCACAGAGGCATCTCCTTTCAGCCTTCAGTAAGCTGCAGAGAGGTGTGGGGTTTTTGCTGCTTTTCTCAGTATTTCACTGCTGAGAGTCAATACCGTTCACCTTGCCCCCACAATCACAGCACCACACAGTTGCAGCTGCTATGCTTCTGGTTCAGGAGGTAGGCCACAAAGAGCAGAATAGCATGTTTGAAGGTACTGCCTGGCACAGTAAGCATGCAGTGTACATGTACCTGATGGAAAACAGAATTGATGGAGATCAGAATTTTTTTTTTTATTCTTTCATTGTGTTATTTATTTTGGCATTTTAAGTTGATTGAGTTAACTTGAAATGTTTAGTGATTTTAGCCCACACTCATCTGTATCTTCCCTTTTTGTTTCAAAAGGTATGAGATCATGAATTTTAAGAAGATGGGGAAGGATTACTTTGACTATATCAATGTTGGAAGCTGGGACAATGGGGAACTGAAAATGGACGATGACGAAATATGGTCTGAGAAAAATATTATCATCAGATCGGTCTGCAGCGAACCTTGTGAAAAAGGCCAGATAAAGGTAAAGTATTCTGTATTTGTTTGTGTATAATTTGTATAGCCTTGAAATGTTGCCCAGAAGGTTAACATCAAAACATAAGTTATATTCCTGAAGTCCTTTGGCACCTAAAAATAAGCCTACAGTGTTATATGTGTGCTTATTACCTTTATTGTAATGGTCACATTACTCTTTATTGCCTCTGCCAGTATCCCTCTGTTGACTCCTTTTGTTCAATTTAGTTTGTAAAATCTTTGGGACACAGTGGGTGTATCTACACGAGGATCTAACAGTGCAGTAGCCTAATAATACTCTGCAGTAGCACATCACAGCACAAACAGTGCCAATATGCTACTGTGCAGTCGTATTAGGCTGCTGTGCAGTAGCATCACTTAAAAGGTGTTCGCCAGTGCTACTGAACAATAGCTCTGGTCACTGCCCATTTATTTAGTATTGGAATATACAAGTACTAAACTAAATGCACAGTAACCACTGCACATTAATGAACATGTAGACATACCTAGTCTGTCTCTCTAGAACAGTGCTTTTTAACCTGTGGTTCATGGACTCCTGGGGTCTGCATGCTATGTCTAAGGGGTCCACAAAAGATGACTATGTTCAATCAAAAATATGTGAATACCCATACTTACAATTCAAAGTGGTCCTCAACTCTATTTGAATTTGGGGGGGGATATGCAAATGAAAAAAGACTGAAAACCACTGCTCTAGAAAAAGGAAGGGTTTATACAGCACCTAGAACAAGGCGATCCTAATCCCTGATTGTAATATGCTAAAATGTGGATTTAGGAGCCCAAATACAGGCACCCCAGCCTAACTTTTTAAGAGCCCGTAGTTTCTTGTTCGGATGTTACAGTTGTTCAATTCTTACCATGCTCCTTAATAATCACATTTTGCTTTGCTTTGAGAACATCCCTTTCCTATTTCCATTAGCAGCCTGCAAACTGTTATAATCTGTGAGTTAGGAGATTGAGACTCGGTGTGAATGAAAAGATTCAACCATGAATTCTGACAGGTCCTCATGAACAGCATTGGGATTTAGACATGACTCTACTCACAGTTAAAGTGATAAGCATCAGGAGTTAATCAGGACTTATTCGCTGAAGTGCAAGGAGATAACAGCAGCATGTGATCTGAATCAGGCCTGCAGTCTGCAGGGATAAGCATTTATGTTGATTAAGCTTAATGATCTGATTTCAGAATAAGTAACACAAGTAGTGAAAGTCCTGTTACTAGAGTGGAACCCAGGCTACAGATTTTGAATCTGAATTGTGCCCAGTTTTCAGGAGCATTTGGATTAAGGGACACTGTTTTGTATGGATTAAGGAACATTACAAAGTTTTATTACAGCTCTGCTCTTGCCCTGGAACCCTAGTTCAGAAGCATATGAGTAAAGCCAAATGTAGGGCAGATCCTTTTAGTGATCTTCCCTCTTTTGTTCTGTATTTAATTGTAAATCCCACATGTTCTTGCACAGGCAGTAGCCCCTGCATGAAGATGGGACAGAGATCCTAGCTCCAATGAAGTTTTGTCACTGAATTCAGTTAAACCAGGATGTCACCCAGGGCGTGCTGTACACATGTGCTTTACTGTGGAGTTGACTATTTAACTCCTCAGTAAAGCATCACCATCTACACATGTGCTGGTGTTAGGGTAAAGCAAATTAATTAAGTCCGCTGTAAGATAGTATGGTGGGGACCATACTTAACTCCAGGGATAGTTGCTTAACTCTGCCGAAATGCATGTGTAGATGGTGACACGGACTGGCTGGGGCATGAGGGTGCTAAAGTACGCGAGTTGCCTACAACCTAGCCCTGCACTGTAGCACCCTGAGCCCCAGCCAGCCCCTCCACCACCATTCCCTGCCAGCCCAGGGCTCCTCTGCCCCAGCTCAAAGTGCTGTGGTCCTGGGCATACGTGTAGATGCTGGACCATGAAGCAACTGACACTGGTGCAAACTCCACTAGAGTTTATCACATCATCTAAATAGTACATGTAGATGCACCCAGGGAATTTGACAGCTCACAGAGTATCAGTGTCCCATTTTTCAGCATATTTCAACATTTCCCTTGCTGAAGGGCCTCTTACGAATCAAATGTAGCCTTATTCTGTATGTCTGAATTATTCTGGAGGCAAAAAGATATTAAATAGAAGCTTGAAGAATCACAAGAGCAGCCAAGAAAGTGGACTAAGGTGATAAAAACTGCAGGTGAAAATGAGGGTGTATTTTAGTTAAGTGGGGCAGGATCAATTAGGTGGTTTCCTGGGCAAACCACTGCAGCTAACAACTGTTGGGTGTTAAAGAAAAAGGGAAAGAACAGAGAGGCAGCTGAATAGAGTGTTGCATAAGCACAGCTGGTAATGGGACCTCCAGAGGCCGTCCTGGCTGGGGCCAGGTTGAAAAATGGTCAAGGGAGCAGTTTTCTTTCAGTTTCATCCAAATTAAAACTTTTTGTCGAAACACGGCTGTTTGGGTGATTTTTTTTAATGTCCAAATGTTTTGACCTTGATGTTTTCACATGAAGTTAATTAGGCAAAAACATTGGCATCTCTATTTTATGGTCTCATTTTGTTTAGATTTTTGATATAATGTACACTGTAATAGTTCTGCATTGCAATGTTTCAGAATATCTATTCCATTAAAAAGTCATAATTTCAGCTTTGTATTTCAACTCAAAATGAAACCAAATTAAAAAATTTCAGATAGACCCATGTGATAGATATGCCATTTCCACTCACAAACCTCACAACCAAAGAAAAATATCTGTGAATTGTCCTATCTGTCTTCCTATATATTTGACTCTTCAGGTGATTTTTTTTTTTTTCCTTCAAGAACCTAATGGAAAAAAATGCCTATCTTTGAACAAATCGATTAAAGATTTATTTTCCAGATTTCTTCACTGCAGCATTATACAACAGCAGTATAATATGCTGGCTGATTATGTTCCTTTGCATTTTATTAAAATTCCAATCTGTGACATTTTGCTATGAAAAAAAATTCTAAATTCATCGCTACAGAACCTATACAATCAGCCTACTTTCTCTGCTATAATTGGTAGTGTTTGTTTTTTGAAGGATTTCAAACGTAATGAGCAGAGACTGAGAATATTTTACTTCAAAAAGGAAAAGGCCTTCTCATTACCCTTGGCATGGAACACAGATGTATTCAGTGCCCAGGATAGATCGGGATTTTGAAAAGTTTATACCTGATTATCAGGCTGCAGAAGTATGTAGTGTGGTGAAGCAGTAGTTCTGAAAACCAGTCCTGATGTTGCAATGGAAACACTTTCTCACGGTTAAATGTTAATTAAAATGTATCTGATCTGAATCATTTTGGAAGAGGCATCAAATTTGATGTTCATAAACTGTAATTTGTCTCAAACTGCTGAATACTGTACTACTGTGACCCAGTGTACCAAATCTTTAGGAAAGCAAAGCTGTGTCCTCATTTTTCCCTATCAGATATGGACCAGAGCTGGATGAATGATCTGTCATGAATAATATCATCCCCCTTCTGCTTGAAAATTATTGAAGAGATTTTGATCTTTAGAAATGTGTTTGTAAGCTAAGTCATTTATCTTAACATACATCAGCCTACAAGTTGGCTGCAAAGCATCCAGAATGCTCATTTCTCTGAATGGCTCCTAGCCATGGTGCAAGTTTTTGTTGCAACTGTTATTTAGATTTATATCCCCCTCTATCCACAAAGGCTCAGAGCAGCTAATCATAATAGACAGACAACCCCAAGACAAGAAACAACAACAAACCCCCCAGCTGACACCTTGACATTTTAAGATTTCACCCCCACCCCACTTCCACTTCCCTGCCTATTACCTAGAGAGCAAATCCTCACAGTCTGTTATTGTTCACACAAGTCAAAACAGAAGAATTTACAATGGCAAGATTAAAAGGGATTCTGGCACCATCATCAAACACCAGTTCAGTCCAGTCACAAATAAAGGATAAGGACACTAAGGGAGACTAAGGATAATAAAGAAATCCCAGGATGTCTCCTTTATGCACCTAGACACAAACTAGATTGCTATTACTCTGAACTCGGATTCCCTCTGGGATCGCCAACAAGATTTCCTAAAATGCACTCCCACCAGGACTTTCCTTGGCCTTGAGGCTCTGTCCTCAAATTAGGGAGAGGTGATACTTGACCATTAATATGCTCCAAGGCCGTCTGTCAGTTTGTCAGCATGGCTCTCAGGGAACTGGTCACCATACCCCAAACTGGCAAGATTTTCCCACCAGAACTGGGAGGCTGCCTGTGCAGGCTCGTATGTCTGAAGTAGGTCAATGGACCTATAAAGTTCAGAAGTCCACTGTATACAAAAGAGGACACTGCAGCTAGGGCTCACAAAGAGGATTTTCAATATCAGAGGAAACTTTGGCAGCATTAAGGAAAATTGTTTCTTTTTTAAACCTTCATGTAACTGAGCTGTTAACTATTTGTCTCAGGTAATCCGTAAAGGAGAAGTCAGTTGCTGTTGGACTTGTACCCCTTGTAAAGAGAACGAGTATGTCTCTGATGAATACACCTGCAACGCATGCCAACTAGGCTCCTGGCCCAATGATGAACTTACAGGTGAGTGAGTTATGATTATATATAAAATGCAGTTACAAGATGCATCTGTATGTGCACTTTACTGCAGTTGGCTAATTAGCTCCACAGTAGGGTGTCATCATCTACACGTGTGCCCATATTAGGGTGCAGTAAATGAATTAACTCTGCTATAGGATAGTACTGTCCTTCAGTGGCATCATTTAGTGTGCTGAAATGTACATATAGACGGTGACCAGAGCTGGCTGGGACACAAGGGTGCTGCAGCGTAGCACCCTTGTGCCTCAGCCAGCCCCTCCGCAGCATGTTGAGTCAGGGTGGAGCAGCCATGGGCTGGCAGGCTGACACCCTGGACAGCCTGGGGCTACTTCAGCCCGGCTCTATGTGCTACTGTCCAGGGTGTATGTGTAAATGCTGCACCTGGCAGAAATAAACTCTGGCACGAACAGTCAAGGGAAATACTCAACATATGACTTGGAAAATATTCTATACAAAACTAAATACTAGCACTTTTCAGATTAGGTTTGGGTCCAAATTTAAACTAAGGCTGCCATTTGTGCTTAAGGTTCAAGCTGGTTTCTAAAGGCCTGGCACAGACCAAAGGAAGACTTTTCTCCCAAGCCACTGGATCTAGAAAGCAGCCTGGCTCTGGGTTTAGATATAACTTTGATTTCAAACTAGGCAGATTCAAATGTAGTCCTTCCCAAAGTAGGCAGGAGTTAAGTCATTAGAAAACAACTTTAATGGGGTTATATCATAGGTGATTTGTTTTTCTCCAAAACAGGTGCAAATTAATTGAAACAGCAGCATTTCCTATCTGAATTCTAGCCAGGTGTGCAGATTGCTCTTGCCAAAAGCAGGAACGATCCAAAGAGAGTTTAGCACCAAATAGTCTGTGCTAAAACGCAGGGACCATGCTCTCTTTGCCCTGGAACACATTCCTGAGGTTCCATGCAGGGCAATATCAATTCAGCAGATTTTTAAGTCTTCAGTATCTGGCCACACTGTTTATATTCACAGTTTTTTCCCAGCTGCCTAACAGTAATAGTATTATTCACATGCTTGACTTTAACAAGGTTTTTCCTTGACTTTAGCAAGGCTTTTGATATGGTCTCCCACAGCATTCTTTCAAGCAAGATGAGGAAGTATGGGTTAGATGAATGGACTGTAAGGTGGATAGAAAGCTGGCTGTATTGTCAGGCTCGGTGGATCAATGTCTAGTTGGCAGGTGGTATCAAGAGAAGCGCCCCTGGGGTTGGTGCTGGGCTCAGTTTTGTCCAATATCTTCATTAACAATCTGTAAGATGGGATGGATTGTGCCTTCAGCGAGTCCACGGATGACACCAAGCTGGGTGGTGTAGTAGATACACTGGAGGGTAAGGCTAGGATTCAGAGTGACCTAGACAAATTGGAGGAATGAGCCAAAAGAAATCTCATGAGGTTCAACAAGGGCAAGTTCAAAGTCCTGCACTTAAGGTGGAAGAATCCCATGCACTGCTACAGCCCGGGGACTCACTGGTTTAGAATCAGCTTTGCAGAAACGGGGATTATGGTGGTAAATCAGCTAGATATAAATCAACAAAGTGCCCTTGTTGCCAGGAAGGCTAATGGCACACCCGGCTGCATTGGTAGGAGTATTGCCAGCAGATTGAGGGAAGTAATTATTTTCCTCTTTTCTCCACTGTAGAGGCCATATCTGGAATATTGTGTCCAGTTTTGGGCCCCTACTATAGCAAGAATTCAGAGAGATTCTAGTGGAGGACAATGCAAATGGTGAGGGGGCTGGGGCATGTGACTTATGAAGAAAGGCTGAGGGACCTGTGCTTATTTAATCTGCAGAAGACAGGATGGGGAATTTGATAGCACCCTTTAACAACTTGAAGGGTGGTCCCAAAGAGGATGGAGCTGGACTGTTCTCAGTGGTGACAGAAGAAGGTGCAATGGTCTCAAATTGCAACAAGGGAGGTTTAGGCTGGATATTTGGAAAAACTTTCCCACTAGGAGGGTGGTGAAGCACTGGAACAAGTTACCTAGAGAGGCAGTAGAATCTCCAACCTTGGGGGGTTTTAAGGTCTGGCGTGACAAAACCCTGGCTGGAATTATCTAGTTGGGGCTGCTGCTGCTTTGAGCAGGGGGTTGGACTAGATGACTTCCCAAGGTCCCTTCCAACCCTAATTTTCTATGTTTGTATCCATATTTATAGTACAGTAACACCTAAAAATACCAGCCAGGGATCAGGGACTCGCGTTAGGCCTTATACAAACAAATAGGAAAACAGTAGTTCCTACCCCAATGAACTTACAGTTTTGGCCCATGACAAAATATAACAGGAGGGTGAATCAAATCAATGAAGTATGGAAGAAAGAGGAAAAGGTAATGATATTGCATGCCTGTGTTTTTCTATATGCAGAAAAGCCAGGAAGAATTTGGTTTTTAGTGTGCAGAAGTATACAGATAATGCTAGACTAAATATTTCTCTTGCTGTTAAGGAGATCCGGATGGCTTTAATACATTCATGACCAAGGTATCTGGTTATATTATACACAGGTTAAAAAGCAATATTAATCTATAGAAATAGTTGGGAAATTTTTTTACATGTGTTTTTTTTTTCTGTTGGAAAATAGTGGAACCCCAAACTTGTTACAAGAATGTATCAGTTTTGAGTAAATTATGAGTAGAGAAAGATTCTCAGAAAGGAGGATTTGGGGGGAGAGCCTTGTTGCCTCTCTCCTAGTTTGCACACTCATCAGGAAGGTGTGTATCCTATATTCGAGTCCTTGTTCTGGCTTTTCCCATATCCAAGGTGAGTGCCAAAGCCCCAAGGTTATAACTCAAACCCTCCTGTTGGAGTGTTCCACTCTGCATGGCTAGTTAGGCCAGAGACTGGCTCTGTAGTCTGGTGTTTAGGATACCTCATTAGAGAAGTGACAGATGCAGGTTCAAGTCCCTGTTTCAATGCCCCAAAACACTTTGCAGGATAAAAACAAACAAAAAATGATTTCCCACTCAGCTGTATTAATTTCAAAGGGCAAAAGTAAATAGTTTTTCAACCTAGTCATAATAGCTGCATACGCATCATGGTGTGTTCTTCAGCGGATGCTTGCTGGGACCATGTCTGGTCCCACCGGCTGCATACAGAAGTTCAGGCAGCCTGTTGGGGAAGCCCTCCAACTATGGTGCTTTAACAAAATGCCATGAGTCAAGATGCTGACATGGGGGGTGGAAGAGAGCCCCCTCCCCACCCGCCCCCGCCACCATGCAGACCTGTACAGCTCTCCCCAGGACCCTAGCAAGTGTAGCTGGGGGCACATACAGCAGGGCAGGCTCCCTTCCCCCTCCCCACCCCCCCATTCTTGGTTGCACAGTGAGGAGACAGAGGTTTTCTGTCTCTGCTCTGTGACAGCCCCAGCGGAAGGGTTGGGCCAGTGATCAGCCATGCAGCCACCAGCCCAGCTCTGCAGAACTGCATGGGTTGAGGGTGAAATCACCCAAAATTAACCCCTGCAGGGAATCTGTACACAAGGGGTGCCTGCAGACCTGTGGGGACGCTGCTAACACATGTTGTAATTGCAGTGCATTGAAGCAGATTTGATTAATCGAGTCTGCTGGAACATGCTAATTACTGCACTCCATATTGTGGGTTGCGAATACGTTTAGTGCCACTTCAAAATGGTGGTGGGGGCGATTTTAACTAAAGCTCGTTGAATGAGCTTTAGTTAAAGTGCCCCAACACTAGAGCTGTACAAAGCTTCGGTCCCTGATTCGATTCAGCAGAGTTTCAGCTTGAATCTGAATTGAATCAGAGGACCCTTTAATGTCTCTGAATTGAATTGGAACCCTCCAAACTGATTCCTGGCAGTCGATCTCACTGATGTGGGGGGGGGCGGCCTGCAGCCGATCTCACTCACCCAAACGTGGTCATGCTGTTTCCAGAAGTCCCGCGGCCACTTCTGGAAGTGGCGCGGCCACTTTTGCTGGTGGCCCCGCTCTCCGGCCAGAGCTCAAAGGGGGCCACCGGCACTTCTACGTGCCGCCCTGCCCATCGCCTAAACAGGGAGCGCGGCCTGACACGGGGTGCACCAGTGCTCTCAGGGGGTGCATGAGCATCCCCATGCACCCCCTACGCATCACCGCTGCCTTTCCTGTTGCTGAAACTGACAAGTGTACGTACGAAACTAACCACAGATTTCTGTGACAACATTCTGAATGGCATCTACCCCTTGTTCTTTAGTTTGGTATTGAAAAAGAGCTCTTAAAAATGCTTTTCTAACATAGCTGAAGGGTGCATTGAGCTGTAATGTTTTATGATCATATTTATGACCAAATTTTACAGCTAGTAAAGAAAATGCCTTTCCGTCTGGCCTTGTTTTTACATAAGCTTTAGTAATAAATATGAATTAAAAATAAAGAGAGAGAGATGCATTTTGTATTCTGGCACAAGAACTTCCCTTCAGTGCTACAAAACATATACTAGTCTCCTTCAAATGCCCTTATGTTTGATATTGCAGCAATCTATGCCTCTGCTGCTAGAAAAAAAAAAAAAGGTATGTCTCTGGTACTGACTGCTCCACAAAGCTACACACATAAAAAGCTGATTGGAATAAGTCTTTCTTATGCTATCTCCATCAGATAAAAGTCTTGATTCTCTGCCTCCCTGTAAATACATCAACTCCACCCCTGGAAGTGTTTGATTTTAGGCCTTTAGCTTATTGTGTTGCCCGAGATTTGAACTCTGTGGTTCACTCAAAAAAATATTACTCCATCTTTCCTCTGCTCAGTGACCAGCATTAGTTTTGTGCTGAAGACTTGATTAAATTAAAAGGGGGTGGATAATGGCTGTTGACTGAAGTTTAGACTAAAATTTAGATTAAAGTTGATTAAAAATGGTTGCTGCTTGCCTGGATTTGAGATGTTTTGGAAGAATTTGAGACTCGTCTGACCCTCTGACTACTACCCCATTCTGCTCATCCATGTGAACAACAATGATGCTGCCAGGGGTGATCCTGAGCAGATCACAAGTGACT